TAATCCGGTCGACGTACGGTCGATGCCGACGAGTTGACAAAATGAGCCTAACGGCTAGTTTTTCAAATGGACTTTTTGGTCTTTTACCTTCTTCTAGCTGTTGTATTGGGGTGCTATATATACCCCATTGCTGATCTTCTACTCCAACAACCAAGAAATCTAAGTTTATTGTTTAGCAAGATATTAATCGCGTTTAAGAGCTGTTTAAGAGTTGTTTCATTAATCTATTTTCAAGAGAAAGTTTTTCTACAACAAGAAGAGGCTCTCATATTCTTGTACACCGAGAGAAGTGTGAGGAGAGAGAGACGGGGTCAAATCCAATAGGAGTGGCGTCGATTGACGAACCTAGGGAGAGGTTGTAATCGAGCACTTGAGGAGGAGGACACGGGCTAGGTTCCTACACTTAGTGTGTAAAGTGTGATTGTTGAGTGATTGTGTAGTGTGAGAGTTTTCGGTGAACTTGTAAACCGAGTGTGTAGAAGTTCCGGCTTCCAAACCGGATTGTGATAGTGGATATCTCCTCGAGGTGAGGAGCGGGGACGTAGGTCGTGGGGACCGAACCTCGTGAACATATCGTGTGTTTGTGTTTTGGTTGGCGTACATATTATTCATCTATATTGCTCATATTCATTCTTGCAAGAACAAATTGATCAACATAATTTTAATTGCTATTAATTGGGATTAGATTAGCATAAGACCCTAATCACCCCCCTCTAGGGTCTAACATACTTTAGTAGACAGAAGTGTAGCATGAGCAAGATCTTCCTCTGTGGTCTTCATGAAGGAGACGTTAGCAGCCTGAAGCATGACATTATCAAAAGGTTCTCACATCAACGAGAACCCTTGTAAGCTCAGATTATCTCCAAGCCTTGCTTCTCCACCTTGAAGAGAAGCCTAGCATTCAAGCCCTCCTTCTTGATCTCTGGTCATGAAGAGCAGGCGAAGATTGAGTCAATGGTTAAGAGGAAGAAGAACTTCTCTTTCCATTATTTTTTGTCTTTGAGATGTTCGAAACTAGCGAGAATCCACCGGTTGACTAAAAATAAAATTCTCTCTCGTCCTTGTCAACTTTGGCACATAACAAATGACCCAGGATGCCCAGGGTTGGCTTGATCTCCACCCAGTGGTAGATGATGAGAAAGGTGGTCAAGAAAGCCACCGAGTTAGGCTTCAATTGGACCGGCGATGTTCCAAGGTCTTAAAATGCTTTCTGAGAAAGAGGTGTAGAGGCAAGCGGATGTTGTAGTCAAGATGTTGCTGATACATCAGTATCTCGTCACCTCCATGGTGATAGAAGGAGCAATCAGATAGTAGGATGGACGTAAAAAGGAGTTGGGGATGTTGTACTCCTTCACCACCTCTACTCCTTCACCACCTCGCGATGTCATCATGAAGGACTGACTATTTGTACCCACAGAGTAGTAAGATCCGTGCCTCGTTAGGAACTAAGGAAGATTACAAACCAGGTGCAATCAAAGAAGACAAAAAGGATGATTAGAGCTCTAAAGACTAGAGATGCAGAAAATTCTAGGACTTGAAATTTAGGAATCACAAAGAAGATAAAAAAGGGGTGAAGATACTTATAGGCGCTAACTAACATTCGACGGACAACACATGGCCAAATTAGAGCAGATGAGATTGGGTCCCTAGGATACGCTGTTGATCCTCATCAATCGAAGCATGCTATCACTAAAAATCCAGGTGCGACCTTTATAAACATGAATATTTTCTATCTTTTGACTATGTTTCACCTTCGATTTCTTGTTATTTTATGCGATTTCCTTATGTTTTGGCCATGTTTAGCTCCCTTGTTCTTGTTTACTGCTCTCTTTGTGTATTGTATAGGAAACATTGGAGCTAAGCACGGATTCGGAGCCAAGGAGGAGTCAAGGAATATATGGAAAGAGGCTACACGGTCCCCCAGTGTCCAACAACACCAGAGTGTTGAAGTGCAGAAGAAAAACCAGAAAGAATAGAGCAACAAAGTTGAACACGGTCTGGTCGTGTCGATCTACACGACCGTGTTGGACGTCAGCATTCAGTTTCTCACACGATTTTAAAAGATTTGACGGTATTATCAGTTAACATATCTTTTCCAGACTTTAAAAAGGACGGCTAGAGGCATCTGAAGGGGGTGGCTGGCTTGAGATTTTTCTCTTTTTCTTTCTTCTTCTTTTTTTCCAAATCTTTCTACAACTTTGTTTAGGATTTCTTTTGATTTGTAATCTGCTGATTGTGGAGAATTGTGTTCAACATCTCGACTTCGACACTCGGTTTATTTTTCTAATCTATCTTGTTTTCTTGATTATGATTATGATCTTATATATTGTTATTATGTTTTCTATTTCAATTATGTGTGAGTAATCATTTTTTCTAGGATTGAATTAGGTTCGATTATGGTTGTAAATCAATGAATTGATTCTGTCGTTATTGCTAATCGTTCGATTTGTATTATTCAATTACTAGTATTTGATTGCCTAGGGTTAATTCAATTGGCCATTGATTTGACTTTTAGGATGTTAATTTATACTGAAAGGTTGAATGACGCCGAAAAATAGTAATTGAACGGGAATTGATTGATCACGAAAATAGGATGGTTAATGATTCTCGGGAACGTAAAGGACTAACGTGAACTTAATGGGTTTAATTTGGTTTAGCACCATAAAAATAGGTTGTTAGGCTGAATTAAGCACGACTTCTAGTCGACAAAAGAGGCTAATAGTTAACATAGGTTAGTCGTTCCTAATGAATTGAGTGGTTCGATAACAATTGATTAATTTGTTGATTCAAACCAGAGTTGAAACCAAAGTTCGAACTTAGGTTCTTTTAATTGTTTGAATCTGTTATTCATACCAACTAGTTAGCTCATCATTTTTCTATTATTAAAACCAAACCTCCTAATACAATTGGTTTAGATAGTCATAAACAGTGAAAACCAGTAATTAACAACGAAGTCCCTGAGGATACGACCTTGTATCACTACAACGATATCCGTGCACTTGCGGATTGGGGCAATCAAACCTTTACTAACGACAGCGCATTATTCACTGTCTTACATAGGATGGCCCGGATCCCTAGGGCAACAAAGATGAAATTGTTAAGTTTCTCTTAAACCCGGGTTCTCCAAGTTCGAGTGAAAAGGGCCAATGTTATAACCTAAAAATCATAAGTTCGATAAGACCTTAAAAGTCATCCACATGTTAGTCGGGCGGGTTAGATCATGTGACCAAAACACCCAACCCGAATATAGACAAAGTAATAAGCCTCAGAATCCACCAAGGGTTGTTCTTTGAATCCACAAAGAATGATCTTTAAATTCACGAATAACTTTGAATTCACAAAGAGAATATGATAAAGAGGAAATTTTATTGATGAAAAGTTATCTTATCTAAAAACTTTGGAGTTACATGTCTTTTCTTAAATAAAAAACAAAGTAGACTCCTAATAATACTAGAATTATAAATAAAAAAAAGGAAGTATCAAATCCTACACTAAAAAGACTCCCCATAATAGAAGAAACAAATCAGTCCAACATAAATTTCAATTGAATTTGTTTTCTAATCTAAATAGACCCCAATTTTATTACTAAAAATAAACTAAATGCTGATTATTTTTATATTTTTACTAAAATTCGATGATACTAATGTAATTTCAGGAATATGTCAATTTGAATATGGCTTCTTATCATAGATATAGACGATTTTTATATAATATGTCAACATCCACCATCCAGATTAAGAAATATGATTGTTTCTTTGCAGGCAAGTAAATAATTCATCTGCATCCGCATTTGACTTACGAAGGTCCCACTTCTCCATGAATTTGCTTGTTATATATCTTACATCACAAGCCAACCCTTCAACAGTCCAACTCTTACTCTAAAGGTGTCTTCGAGTCAGAATACATCAAAGAAAGCCCGAGTCCAAGTTGAAAGGCGTCTTTAGGTTAGACTCCACCGGAAAATACTAGTCCCAAGGCAAGGAAAGGAATGTGATAGCCTCATTGGCATTGCTCGCATTAAATGCACAGCCAGACATTATAAATGACTAGTCGAACGTTGCTAGCACTCCGCTACCCAATCGCCATCGTATTAAAAGCATGGTCAGACGTTTTAATGACTCCTCGAATGCCGCCCATATTGCACCACCCTATTGCTATCACATTAAATGCGATGAAAACGGCTCCTCGGGTTCGCTCTATTGATTGTTGATACATGTAAAGTAGAAATAAAAATGTCTACTTTGCTGGTCAAATCGGATTACCAATTTGCTGCTACACTCTCCTATAGATAGATGCTACTTCCACCATTCAAAGGTCTAAACTATCTAAACCCTAAACTAAATTCTGCATTTGTCTTCATACTGCTTTTATCAGTCGCTGACTTGAGCGCTAGAGGGCATATCGGGGGAAATCTCCTCCGGAGCCTCTAACGCCTGCTACTTGTGCATGGACCTGCTTCTCAAGCATCTCCCCAGTTTATGAGCCATTAGAAGAGATCAATGGACTCCTAATCCTCTCCTAATATTACCCTACTCATAAATTAACTTTGTGACATAAAGAATTTCTTTCTGGCTCTTATAATGACAATAAAATTTAATAAATCACATGAATAATTAACTGGCTATAACGCTTTCATATTTAACAATCAATGCTCAAGCAATCATAGCTAAGTCAATTATACATTTATAATTGTGTTGCGAAGGCATAATAATGACCATATTCTTATTTGTTTCCTTGTGTCAAAATCTGCCGGCCATTTTATTTGACATAATTTTGTTAACCGGTATCTTTTACTTCACGTGAAATAGATCATAGTTAACGCACAAAAAATTTCTTAACCTATAATTGCTATTTCCTAATTGCCAAATTACTATAATCGGTCACAAAATAACCTCAAAGTCGATGACATCACCATCTGGACGTTATTTGCAAAACTAAACTTGTCAAAGTCCTTCTATGCAACATAGCTTCCCCTACCCTTTTTAATGCAGCTCGCTCCGCTTCTCAAATCGCCGCCTCGACAAAATCCTTCCCGAAAAAAAATTCTCAGCTTCCAAGATTTAGAAAGAAATATGGACATCGACGACGACGACGAGTTCGGCGATCTCTACACCGACGTCATCCGACCTCTATCCATCTCCTCCTCAGGTCCTAACCCCTCTCAGGATCCCCTTACCATCACCGGCAGTGACCGGATCCCGACCAAAAACCCTAGCCTCAGTCGCCCTCTCGAAACCCTGGACTCGTTCTCTGGCGAGAATCCGAAGGAGGACTGGCTCCCAGACAATTGGAACGATGAAGGCGACGACGACAGCAACGTCCCTGTCCCTGTCCCTGTCAAAGCCAAGGTCGAAGTCGAGGCTAGGGTTTCTGGATCAATTGGAAAGGATGAGGCATCTAGGGTTTCTGAAGCTGAGGATTTCAAGATCGGGAATCTCGATCAAGAACCGGTGATCCCCGGGTTGTCCACTGCTTCTCTACCTAGGGTTTCTAATGCTGATGATGACTGGGACAATGATAGCGACAGCGAGGACGATCTTCAGATCGTGCTGAATGACAATCATCACATGCCAATGGGCGCGATGGATGATGATGATGATGGGGAAGAGGATTTGGTTATTGTTACCGATAACGATCAGCAGCAGCATCACCATCAGCAGGGGATTGAGGAGCAGGATTGGGGCGAAGGAGAGCTGCCTTCGGCGGCGGCTGATGGAGAGAGAAAAGAGGGTTCGGAGGCGACAAAAGTAAATGGAGCTGTTGCGGTTGTCTCTGGCGGGCCGAGGATTGGTTATAGTCATGGGTTTCATCCGCAGCATCATTCTATGTACAAGGTATCAGATCCTTTTGATGTAAAAATTGTAACTAGTGGGAATTTTTTTATACATGTTTTAGTCTTGGTTAGCTTGCATTTTGTAAATTACATGGAACCTTTTAGATGGAATGAATGAGTACTTGATTGTTTTTGAATGTACAGTGATATCGAGTTTATCAAAAGACACAAAAAGAGTAATTCTGCAGCTATTTTACTTTTTGTTTGCGTTTTAATGAGAACTGATTTGCGGTTTCCTATTTCCTCGATAAGAGAATTGGCCTTCTACTTGTGGCAATGCGGAAAATGCACACAATGTTGGCAATTGGTCATAAATTTTAAATCTTCTACAAGCTTGGCAAATTGGTCGTAAATTTCAAATCTTCTACATGATTCTCTGTTTATGTGCGTATCAAATGTGATTTCAAGATGTTTTCATAATGAAAGATTGGAAAACTTGTCTTAGCGACGGTACTATATGGAACTCTAGCAGATGAAGCCTTTGAAGATTTCATATATCATCCTTATTGACGAAGAAGCAACTTCCAATTATGTACATAATAAAGGTGATTTCAAGTATGTCTCACTCTTTCTTTCCTTGTGGGAGGGTAATGGATCCAATCTCCTAATCTGCAGTGAAAGGGGTTATAAGAGTCAGGAAATGCAGCTTGCACTATTTTGCAGAAGGATTCAAGTTCACATCTAAGAAGTGATTATTCTTCATGATTGCTTATCTGAGTCTGAAAGACATGGATGTTCCTTATCAAGTACCACAGTGGTAGATCACCGTATAGTCATATATAGAATGAATGTTGAATACCATTACCATCTCTCTGCTTAATCGGTGTTAGGATGGTTTTTCTATTCTTTAGAGCCATTTGTAATGGACTCGTCTAATATAACTTTTTTTTTCAATTCTAGTTCCATCACATAAAATCTTAAAGTTATATTGAGATTTAATGCAAAGTCTGCTCTGGGTGCTTGTATTCATTAGCATGGAGGTGTCTATAAAGCCAATGTACCAGCTTCTGTTATAGATTGAGGATACAGATGCCTATCAGATATTTATGAAATTCTTGAGTGCACTCCAGGATCCACATTGAGGGACATGTTGTTCTTCATTTTTTATTCCTATTAACTTGTGAATATCAAAATTCTGTTTGGATTAAGTGTTAGACACAAAGGAGTTATGGACCATCTTATTATTAAATTTTCTACAGAAGTGATGGCTCCTAGCTTTACCTGACATGTGGACACAATAAATATCTTTATTGACCCCCTTCTAAACATGTCAGTCAATCTGGGTAATGTTCCAATTTCCAACTTTATGCCATTATTTGGTAGATTTTGGATTTTTTCAGAATCGTGAATTGGGTGCAAAATGAAGTACAAGGGAAGAGAAGCATTGAAGATAAAAGATGAGTGTGAAATGTTGATTAGCTCATAACAAAGGGATCGAGAAAACAAATATTATGGTACCCAACAAAAAAAAAGGATTGCTGCAAGTCGGCCGGTGTTTTTTTTTTTTTTTTTTGGGGGGGGCGGGGTGTGGAGGGAGGGGAAGCTTAGCACAAATACTCTTCTTTTCTTCTAACTGTTCAGACGAAGAATAATCCAAACTGTTATTGTATACAGCTAGCTGCCTCAAAGACCTGTTTTCTTAAAATATAACTTCTTAAAGTAAACTAATAAAGATTCTACATACTGATATTTCATTGTTAATGCAGTCAAATGCATTGTTCTTGCGGTATATCTATAACTATCATGTTTTTGTCTGATCAGACGTCTTATTTTGCTCTACTTTTATGTTGTGTACAATTTCTAACTTTCATGAGCATGCAATATACCATTAAGTGATGTATCCTATAATAATTGCCTGCTTTTTTCTTCTAGACAAAATGATAATGACATCGTGTTTTCCCCTGATCTATTCTTGTTTGTGTGTGGAAATCCATCTCTTGTTGCATGATAACGTATGTTACCCGAGTACTTCTGTCATGAAGCCGTATCCGTACCTGACACATACTTGTACTAAAACTTCATGGACACTCCTTGGGTATATGCATACATTTATTCAAACATGTACTGAATTATATGATATATGTATTACCTTAAAACACTTGTCATGCTCTTCTTGGACGTAACCCTACAGTTCATATCTATTTCTAGGAACTAGTTAAACATTGGTCGGGTTTAGTAGTCGTGCTCCCTTAGGCCCTTACCTTACATTTTACAGATTTAGTGTGTCTTGTACCCGCATCCATACCGGTACCCATACCCATCTCCATGCAGCTCAGGAGATAACTGACTTTACCTTGTCTTCCACGGAAAGTTTACATGATTTCTCTTCCTATATTCTGACCAGAACTTTTCTTGGCATCAGTTGCATGTATGTTTCCTTTAATTTTCAATACTTTCATACTAGGAGGCGCCATTAGTAGTAAGCTTGCATTTAGGTCTGACGTGCATAATTTTGATTTTGATATTATAGTGTATTCATTTTAACCATTTACCTGTAACTTTTTTGCTGCTCAGTTTTCTTATTTCATAATTATATGGAGTCTTATATCTCTCCTCTCCCATTTTCCCTCCCTATGCAGTATGTAAGACCCGGTGTAGCAGCACCTGGTGCTCCTCCAGGTCAAATTCGTCCTCCTCCAACCATAGGTTCTTTTGGTGGTCGTGGGAGAGGTGACTGGAGACCTGCAGGCATTAGAGGTTTCCATTCTGGTTTTGGGCCTGGTTGGTCAAACAACCCATCCCGTGCTTTTGGTGGCGGATTAGATTTCAACCTGCCCTCACACAAGTAAGCTTGATATGCCTAAGAACAGTTTGGATTTTATTTTATATCTAATTTCTATAGTACATAGGTGCTTTAAACTCTGATGGCTTTTCTTATTTCTAGTTGATCCAAAGCATTTTTTGAATAGAACTTTCTTTAGTCTTGGTACAAAATTTCATGTCTCTGAGGAAAATTAACAAAATATGGTAAGATATATGTCCATATTTTTAGTCTTTTGTCCCAAGTCGGTCAGAATTTGTTGGTGAAAATTTTCATGTGTGT